AGCGCCGCCCCAGCGCCTGGTACTTCCTGCGGCTCAGCTCGCGCTGGCGCCGCCGCTGCCCGCGGGCCGCCTCCTCCTCCTCGTCGCGCTCGCGGAGCCCCGAGCCGCCCAGGCCGCCGGACACGAACTCCACCTCGGTCTCTAGCTCGCTCTCCAGGATGTGCCCGCCGAACAGCGGCGGCAGCGCCAGCTCGGAGCCCGGCGGCGCCGAGAACTCCTCGAAGCCCACGGCTGCCATGGTGCTGCAGGGCCGGGCGGCGTGAGCGGCGCGGGGCCCCGCTCTCCGGCCCCAGCCGCCGCCTCCATCCTCCCGGCCGCTCGGACCCGGGTCCCCGCCAACCCCGGCCTCCCCCAGCCCCGCGCAGACCCGCGCCCCGGGGCGGATTACAGCAGCCCAACGAACTGCAATCCCCAGCGGCCCCGGGGGCTCCGCCCGCGCCTCGGCCACTCACCCCTCTCTCTGCTCCAGCTCCATCTCTCCCGCTCCCGGCGCCCCAGGCCGCACCCCTTTAGCCTCAGGCGTCTAGGTTGAGCCGTGCGCAGAACTACCGGTCCCATCAGGCTTCGCGGCCCAGGAAGCCCGCAGCCTTCTGGGAGTTGTAGTTTCCTACTTCCGGCTTCGCCTCCTCAGCCCCGGTCGCCCCACCCGAAATCGCGGTCTAACGGCTTTCCTCTCTCCTCCACCGCGCTACCAGTCGTCTGTGCTGCTCCTGCCTTTATTCCAGTCTCGACCCTCTGCGGTCTTGGCGCGGCGACTCGCCCGGAGGTTCTCCGAGGCCACGCGTAAGCTAAGGCCCTCTCCCACCCGCTCACCCGTCCGCGCCGCAGGTCGGCGCTAATAAAGTTCTTCCAACTGACCAATCAGAGCGCAGCTTTGCCGGATCGGCGCGCGTGACGCGTCATCAGCGAGCGCCGGCCGCGGCTGCGAGGCTAATTTCCTAGGAACCGTCGTGCAGGGAGGCAGGAGGTGAGTGTTTTGGGAACAACGGGAGGGCGGGAGGCCGGACGCCGGGGTCTGGAGGAGGGGGCTTGTGAGCAGCGAGCCGGACCTTCACAGGTTGGTCGCCCCAAAGCCTCTTATGCTTCTCCTGGGCTTGGCCCTGTCGAGGGCAAGATTGTTTCAGGCGCTCTTAGAGCCGGGAATCGGGCTCAGGGAATCAGCCGGGACTGATGCCCGGGAATCCGGCTTAGTCGGGCGAGACCCGCGGAGCCTGCGAGCTGAAGGCTGAGGAGCTCGTGGGCACTAGCGAGAGGGGCAGAGAGCATATTAGGCCAAGGGGGCCGATTTGCGAAGACCCAAAGGTGAGAAGTCTGTAAGTCCTAGCACTGTGGCAGTGGGCAGCGTGCGCTGTCCACGTGGGTAGGGATGCAGACATCCCTGGAGAACAAAGCGCAAGGAAGCGCCCAACCTCCGGGAGCCTGCGTGCTAGTGGGGTTGAAAAAAAGGGACCAGGGCCTTCCAGGAGAGAGATCCTTCTTGTAATCAAGTGGGGCTCGGGCTGGGCGTGGTGGCTCACGCCTGTAATCCCAGCACTCGGGAGGCTGAGGCAGGAGGATCGCTGCGAGTTCGAGACCAGCCTGGGCTGCAAAGTGAGCTCAAGGCCAGCCTGAACTGCATAGCGAGACCCTGTCTCAAAAAGACGGGAGGAAAAGAAAGAGACTTGGTCCGGTGCAGTTTTAGGGAACCCAGCTCTTGCTTCCCAGTAGGCCTTGGGATGTCTCTGGCAGATGAGCTCTTGGCCGACCTTGAGGAGGCAGCGGAGGAGGAGGAAGGAGGAAGCTATGGAGAGGAGGAAGAGGAGCCAGCGATTGAGGATGTGCAGGAGGAGACGCAGCTGGATCTCTCCGGGGACTCTGTCAAGAGTATTGCCAAGCTGTGGGACAGCAAGATGGTGAGGGGCGCGGGTGTGAGGTGCCCGGTCTGGGGCTCCCGGCACAGGTGATGATGCAGTCATGCCTTAAAGAGCCGTGGTGACTCCATTCTCTTTCCCTGGCAGTTTGCTGAGATCATGATGAAGATCGAGGAGTACATCAGCAAGCAAGCCAAAGCTTCAGAAGGTACGTCCTCAGCTGGGGATATAGCTCAGCAGCATAAGTGCTTGCCTGGCAAGCACAAGGTCCTGAGTTCGATTCCCGGTACTGAAAAAAGAAATAAAGAATAAGGGGCCGGGGATACAGCTCAGTGGCATATGCGCTTGCTTGGCAAGCCTGAGGTCATGAGTTCGATTCCTGGTACCAAAAAAAAGAAGGTATGTCCTCGCTCTCGCCTTTCCCCTCTTCATTGTCGTGCCAGGCCCCATGGCTCCTCTGCTCCTGCTGGCTTCCAGTGTTGAGTGTCTGTCCCTTTCAGCCTCTGCCAGAGCCCTATTTTCATCCATCCCACCTTAGTCCGCTTCTCTGCTAAAAACATTGCATGATAAAGTCCTCATTCTGCAACTTACTAGTTGCGATAGAACTTGTCTCAGAATTCCCCAAACTGGCTGGATGTGTTGGCACAGGCTGTAATCCCACCTCTCCAGGAGGCTGAGACAGGAAGGTCACAAGTTTGAGCACAGCCAGGGCAATGTAGCAACACAGTAAGATCCTATCTGAAAATAAGGAATAAAAAAGGGCTGGGGATGAAGCTTCGTACAAAGGGCCTAGGTTTAGTCCACAGTACTGGCAAATAAATAAATAAATAAATAAATAAATAAAATTCCCACACTGCGGTGGCAGACATGAGCTCTTGGCTGACCTGGGCTTTGGCCTCATCTGTAAACCATGTGTTCTGTTACTTCAGGTATTTTTTCAAGTCAGCAAACACTTTTTTCTTAAGTGTGTGTAAAATTTAAAAGTATGACTGCTAATAATGGAAAACTGGAACCTTTGGGTGAATCCAAAGTAACTGTAAAAGAAATACACTACTATTAGGGTGTCACCTGGAAGTTCTTGTCAGTTCCAGCTCCGGGGAACTCCGGGTCGCCTCTCGGGTACTCAGAGCGCCTGTGAATAGGGCAGGCCTGTGGCCATTCCCCTTCCCCTAGGCGGGAGGGGACTCTGGACCCCGAGTGGAATTTGTCAGTTACGGGGCGCTCTGGGGGTTGCTGGGCACGGGAGAGGTGTAGTCAGAGGCAGGTTCAAGGAGACACACCACACTCTTTTCCTCAGATACTTGCTTGGACACTCAACTGAGTCAGCCCTGGTCTCTGCTTTCAAAGCGCCCAGATCCCAGGCAGTCGTGGTGGGTACTGTGCGCTCAGGACAGCTTGGAGCCACGGGAGGGACCGAGTGGGCCTGCCTTGGAGGCGGGGGCTGACTGGAGTTGGAGCATGAGTGCACTTGCAGGCAGAGAAGGGGAGAGGGCCGGGCCGGAGCACAGCACGGCCCGCCCTCAGACGCCAGGAGCGCCGGGGAGGCTCAGGAAGGAGCCAGCTCCTGCTGGGGTCCAAGGCCTGGCTGCAGAGTCTCTGGCCTGGAGAGCCCAGGGGAGTGACATTTCCTGAGCCCAGCCCGGGTGTGTGTACAGGGAAGGTGACATGAAAGCCCTCGGGTCAGGTTGTGATCCGCGTGCAGCAGAGGGGGCCCGGGTGAGGGAGACGTCTGCAGGAGGCTGCTCCGTCACCACCTGAGCCGCAGGAGGCAAGGAGGTGCTCAGGCAGGCTTGGGGCGGGGAAGCTCCCTGCCCAGGTCAGATCGCTCTGTCTGCCAGCTGCGCAGTGTAGGTGCAGAACTTGTCCTCCCGGGGCGTCCACAGACAGCGTGGCCTCCAGTGTCATTCTAGGGGCTCGGTCATTAGCCTCGGGGCACTAGGGACCTGGGAGGGTCTAGACAGGTCGAGGTCAAGTCTGTACTAGCCGGGAGGACAGGCCGGAGGGAAGGAAGAGGGAGGCCCGCTCCCTGCCGTGTGCCACTGGCCGGCATGGGGAGCACACAGCCCGCGCTTCTTCCCACAGTGATGGGGCCCGTGGAGGCGGCCCCCGAGTACCGTGTCATCGTGGATGCCAACAACCTGACTGTGGAGATCGAGAACGAGCTGAGTGAGTGCTGGGGTGGCGGGGGCTGCCGTGGGGCGCTCTGCGCCTGTTTGCCTCTCCCTGGGTGCTGCCCCTGGCCCGGCCCGGCCCGGCTTGCCCGAGAGGGGAGCGCACAGTTGCTGCCCCGAGGGCCCGTCCGTGTCACTTCTGGCCACGGTGCGCGTAGACGGAGCCAGGAAGCGCAGTCTCTGGGAGTCCAGGGCCAAGCTGCGGGCCGAGGCTGGGCCAGTGAAGGAGAGGGGAAGCACGGCCTCAGGGCCGCCTCCTCACGCCCCCTCCCCCGCCCCAGACATCATCCACAAGTTCATCCGCGACAAGTACTCGAAGCGATTTCCCGAGCTGGAGTCCTTGGTACCCAACGCACTGGACTATATCCGCACAGTCAAGGTGAGCGGAGAGGCGGGCAGGGCGGGCCCGTGTGGGAGGGCGGAGACCTAAAGGCCGGCGCGTGGGCAGCCACGTGAAAGGCGGAGGATGGGGCCACACAAGTGCGAAGGCCTGAGTGGGAGCCAGCCGGGCAGCCGGGGCAGGGTGAAGCTTTGGCCGCTGGAAAGGTCCGGCCACGTCAGACCTGGAGGCGTCCGCTGTTTCAAGGAAAGGGGCAGAGCTGGGCGTGGAGGCACAGGCCTGTAATCCTAGCAGCCTAGGAGGCTGAGGCAGGAAGATCACAAGCTTGAGCCCAGCCTGGGCAATTTAGTGAGTCCCTTCCTGTATGCAGATGAGGATGTGACCGAGGAGGTCCCCGTCTTGGCCACGCTGAGCTGGAGTGGACCGAGGCCCGCTGAGTGGGCGCGCCCTCCTAGGCTGGCCGCTCCGCTTGGCTCCCCTTGCGGAGCTGCCCACGGTGCTGATGCTCTGAGCACTGAGCTTCGGGAGCTGGTGGGAGGCAGGAGCAGCCCGGGTGCAGACCCCGGCCTTCCCAGCCGCAGAGCTGCCCCTCCTGAGCGCCCCCTCTGCCCTGCGCCCCTGACCGCCCCTTCCGCCCCAGGAGCTGGGCAACAGCCTGGACAAGTGCAAGAACAACGAGAACCTGCAGCAGATCCTCACCAACGCCACCATCATGGTGGTCAGTGTCACGGCCTCCACCACGCAGGGGTACGGACGCCGGTGGGGACGGGGACAGGCCGGCCGGCCGGCTGCGAGCTGCGACTCCCCGCGCGCTCGTGCCCAGGCCTGGGGCAGGCGGACACGGGTGGGGCGCGCGGGCGCACGGCAGGGGCGCGGGTGGGGCAGGCGGCAGGTTCCCAGCAGGATCATCTGACCCCTGCAGGCAGCAGCTCTCCGAGGAGGAGCTGGAGCGGCTGGAGGAGGCCTGCGACATGGCGCTGGAGCTGAACGCCTCCAAGCACCGCATCTACGAGTACGTGGAGTCCCGCATGTCCTTCATTGCCCCCAACCTGTCCGTCATCGTCGGCGCGTCCACGGCGGCCAAGATCATGGGTGAGGCGCGTTCTGCTGCCCGTGCACGGCTCCCTGGCCCGCTCCCTGCTGTCTGTCCTGGAGGTCCGAGCGGCCACCAGGCGGAGACCAGG